TTTGCGAATGAACAGTTATCGATAGTTGGATTCATCAATTTTTTTCAAAATTGTTTCGCTCTTCGATAAATTAATCAATCATGGTTAGATAAACGAACAAATATTGTTTACTTTAACATGTTACGTATTAGTGTTTGCCACATGATATTAGAACACGTATACTAGAGGGAGGTTGACTCGTTACGTATCACTCATCATCACGATTTTAAAATGCATCTATTAGGAAGATGTTTTCACACCTTTATACTAAATGTTTCGTTTCTTGAGATCTCACAATCCACCCCCTATCAATAGTTATAAAATCGAGGTTAGAGGCTCGAGCATACGTTGCTTGGCCATAGGTGACGTAAGAACGAATTGACTTGGCTCACTTATTGCTGAAAAGTGAGTAGAGGCTCGAGCATACGTTGCTTGCTTGGCCAGAGGTGACGTAAGAACGAATTGACTTGGCTCACTTATTGCTGAAAAGTGAGTAGAGGCTCGAGCATACGTTGCTTGCTTGGCCATAGGTGACGTAAGAACAAATTGACTTTGCTTACTTATTGCTAAAAAGTGAGTAGAGGCTCGAGCATATGTCGCTTGGCCATAGGTGACGTATGAACGAATTGACTTAGCTCACTTATTGCTGAAAAGTGAGTGTCCCACAATCGCAAGTCCGAACACCATCAACCATCTTTCTCTGATACCATTTATAACTGCTCAATCCAAATTTGGATAAAACATTCTAATAGTTTTAGTATAGGAGTATAGGTAGTTAACTTCAATTTCTAATAACACGACACTAGTGGAGTAGATCAACGCCAATAAATAATCTATATTAGCAAAATGAAAATTCCTTAAAATGACTATTTAAAAAAGAATAATAAAAAATAAAAAAATAAAAAAAAAACTCCTAAAAACTCATAATATTTTAAAATGGTTATTTACTTACTTTCAAAGCTTTTTAAAATTCAGAATATTGCATTTATCTATCTGTTCTTCATTTGTTATAAAAAGAAAAAACAGGGACCGATCCGTCAATTTGGCTAAACTTCAAAAGATTCCAAACAAGAATACTAAAAATAAGCCTTCCTTTTATTATTCACCATATTCAACACTCCAATTTACAGCATCACCTTCCCCAAAATGCCTTCATACCTTTAATAAAATTCCACAACATCAATATCTCCCTTTTCCCCCAAAATTTACTCAGAAAACTCCGAGCTAATTTAGAGAATGATAATGTATCATAAGAAAAGAATACATCTCCATTAGTATGAAAGTCAGAGAAGCTGAACTTGTGCTCAAAGGGAACAACTATTACATCCGATCCTGATTCCTAACATTGTGTATATCATAATTACTATATTCAAACGCATCAGTAAAAAAAAGAAAAGAAGAAGAAGAAGAAGATCTACTTGTTCTTAGGTAGCGGCTTAGAAGCGGAAACATATCGAGCAGAAAAGCCTCGACATCGTAGCTCTTCATCTTCATCATCCAATCCTTCATCGAAATTCTGAGCGTAACTCAAGGCGTCGTATCGGAATCCGCCGTTCAACGGCTTTGTGTCGCCGATACACGGATTATTCCCCTCTCTTTTCATCAACAAAAGCTTCAATTTCAAACGCCCCCAACACGACACTAACTCTTCGCTGCTCTTCTGCCCCTCCGATTTCTCCATTTGCAAAACAGCCCCTGTTCCTTTGCTAAGAAAGGCCTATAAATTTCTCCCTCTTTCGCTCTGTTGTGGAGTGGATACAATTGTGTGGTCGACGAAGGAATCGAGTGTTTTCAAAGAGACTGGGACGTTTGTCTGTTTCGATTTTTATAATTAATGACAATTTAATGCTTTTTTTTTTATATTTATTTTAATTATTATTGTTATTCTTTTATTGTGTGATATTTTCTTGTCCAATTTATTTCTTTTTTGAGAAAAGGAAATGAAATTTGTATTTATTTTATTAAATTAATTTTGTTTCTTTTTTTAAAAAATTATTCCCTTACTAAATGTGTACCAATTTTTTTTACCCTCCAATAAATTTTTAATTCTCTCTTCTACTTACCAACTAAAAAAATAAAGTTAATGAACTACAATTTTTTTTTAAAAACTTTACTTTATATATATTTTAATTATTTTAATGCAATTAGATCGTATTTTTATGAATAATTTTATGTCGTGTTTAATTTTTTTAAGTAAAAGAAAAATACACTAAAGTTTGAATTTGATTGCATTTAGATCGATAAGTTTTCAAATTTGAGAATTTAATCCTTAAGGTTGTGGAGAATTTTTCTAGTTCAAATTTAGAGAGCGTGACGTTAATTTTAGAGTTCGTTGAAATTAGGACTAAGTATAACAATGATGTTGTAGTAGTTATAACCAATATGAATGTTCACGCTCGAAGCTGTGAGGCTAGACATGAAGCTATTAAAAACGAGCTAAACGCGTCTAGTAGGATTTGAGGAGAGAGAATGGTTATAGATGGCAACATAGAACTTTGGTCACTTTTAGAGAAGGGTAGGAATGTATAATGACAAATATGATCAACTTCGTGTATAACTTAGTCACAAGACGAAGGGAATGTACATCCCAATCAAACAAAAAACAAAAGGATGAAAAGGATAGGCTTTCCGGTCAAATAAAAAGTAGACAGAATTTTGAATTGCCAAACAAAATTGAATTACATGGTCGAGGTCAAACCTAGCTTCATAAGTCGAGGCTGACAACAACAAACACATACTCTTTTGCTTGTCGGAGCTACTAGAAGGCTAGAATTTCGATTATATAATTTATGATAATACTCCAATTGTTAAAAAATGCTATTTTGGTTTCATGTTCGAGCAAAATAAAAGTAAAAGAAAGATAAAGGATTTCATTTCATTAAAAAAAAAAATTAAAAATCTTATATCATAAAGAAAAGAGACGTAAATGTTATTCATGTGTGCTTTTAAGCTCGTCCCTCCCTAAAGAAGGTAGTTTGAAGGCTTAAAATCAAAAGTTCACCCGAACATAGTGTAAGTGGCCAAGGTTGAGATAAGAAATTCTTAACAAGGGGTTCACTCTACATAGCTCGAATTTATGGAATATCTACGTGGTACGTTTTTTTTTACTATGAAATTATTATTATTATATAACCCCTATCAAAAAAAATATTCAACCATAAAAAAATTAATTTCAAAATTTATTGAAACCAAAAAAAATATTTTAACCGCTTATAAAAAATAAAAAATAAAAAATAAAAATAATTATTCTTTAACATATTACAAATATACACAATTTTTTTTTAAGGAAAAGAAAAGCCTCAAGAATATATATATATATATTCCCATAAGATTCTTTTTTGGCTCTGCGAAAAGATTCCTTTGCCCGATTGATGGACCACATGCAAGGACATAGCTTTTCAGAAGCGTCCAAGAAAGGGATTACGAAATAGAAATAACAGCCTGAAAATACAATAACAGAAACAATTACTTACTTTACTCTCCATATGATATTGTCCATTTTGAAGATAAGCTCTCATGACTTTGAGTTCGACTTCTCCAAAAGACCTCGTACCAATAGAGATAGTATTCCTCACTTATAAATTCATGATCTTCCACTAAATTAATCAATGTGGGACTGGACTCACCCCCAATAATTCTCAACAATCCTCCCCTCGAACAAAGTACACTACAAGCCTCCCCCGAAGCTTATGGAGCTCTCGAATAGCCTCCCTTAATCGAGGCTCGACTTCTTTCTCTAGAGCCCTCGAACAAAGTACACCTTTTGTTCGACCCTTTAGTCACACTTTTGACTATACCTTCGAGGCTCACAATTATTTGTTCGATATTTGAGGATTTTATTGACATAATTAAGTTTATGGCATGACTTTGATACAATGTTAGAAATCACGACTCTCCACAATAGTATGATATTGTCCACTTCGAGCATAAGCTTTCATGTCTTTGCTATGTCTTTGCTTTGAGTTTCTCCAAAATGTCTCATACCAATGGAGAGAGTATTAATTAATTATAAATCTATGATTATTCCCTAAATTAGCCAACGTGGACTTTCATAATCAGAGCATAAGCTTTCATGTCTTTGCTTTGAGTTTCTCCAAAATGCCTCATACCGAGAGAGTATTCATTAATTATAAATTTATGATTATTCCCTAAATTAGCCCACGTGGACTTTCATAATCGAACAGAAATAAAACGTGGCCGGTTGTTTACTTATTCATAGAATGATTTTTGTTCTTCAGTTTAATTTAATTATATTTAATATATTCCTTTGCACCAGAAAATATCTTGGTACAAGTGGCACTTGAACCTCAAAATATCTCAGCGCTCTAATATACAACAAATAATATTTAAATTGCGTCAATTATTTAACTTTTTCCAAAGCCATCATAGAAATAGGTTCCCCAACTCACTTTTGTACTTTATTTTTTTCTTTTAAGAATTTTTATTTAAAAAATACATTTTTTTTCTTTATTATTTCTTTAACTCGTCGTTCCCCCAGTTGCCGGTACATATTTTTAATTATTTATTATTCTCTGCAATTTTTAAATACCTATTTCTATGGTTCTAGAATGGACGACGTGTTCCATCTTCGTTCGCTTATTCTGCCACGTGGATGAACCTAATTCTGTTAATTGTTTCCCTGTACACGCGCGGAGATTTGTTCAGCTAGTGCCACGTGGTATTCCGGTACGCATTAGTTCGCCACGTAAGTATATCGAATTTTTCATATTTGATTTATTAATTATGGAATCGGGACGTGGATATTGATTGGTTTTTTGCACACGTGTAAAAAATGTTATTTTCTTTTTTTATGATTGGAAAATTAATAATGCAAGTAATTACATTTTATAAATTTTGTGGATATAATTAATTTCTATTTTACAATTAAAATAAAATAGAGTTTGATTTTTTCGAAAATATTATATAATATTATAAATTATAGGCAACTACAAAGTACCACGCGCGCTAAATCCATCGCGACTATAAATATCTTCTTTACTATCGATTTCCGTGTTTGTTTCGGGCAGAGATCAAACGCCAAATGACTCTGCCTCTCGTTGCCTGGTACCACCGCTTTTGGTCTCCTCGCGCGAGGCATCACATACAATCCATTTCTTCTATTCAGGTTTTCGTTCTTTCTCTTGGATATCTTCATTGATTGTTTTTTCTTCTTGATCTTGAATCTTCATTGTCCTCCATATTCGTGTTTCTCATATTATAATCATGCTTACTATGATTGTCTTTGATATAATTTTCTGCTCTGATCTTAGTAATGTACTCGATTCTTCTGTTTTCATGGCTTCTCAGTTCGATTGACTTACATTTTTTCGGAAGGAAATGTTGTCTCGGAAGCTAGTTCTCAGATCTGTTTGGTTGGCTGTTATCTCCGAGGAGAAGAGAACTGAAAAAGCGGGACTCCAAGCTCAACTATTCCGGTGCCTGCGAATTACTAGGTAATCTTGTTTCTACTGATCTCTTATGAACCGAGCGATGCATTACGATGTAGAATCGTTTTATTGTAGAATTCATTTTTCATCGTAAGTTGTCTACACACTGTTTTACGTACTTGCTACGTTTTTCCTACTGAGAATCAGTGTTCGATCTGGTCCACGGTACGTATGGTCCGTCTTTCCATTTCACCACTGCAATTGTTTCGGACTATTCTCTAGCAAACATAAAATGAGAGAATGACTAGTGCGGTCTGGCATTTATTTCATCTATGTGTGTATGTGACTTTATAATGTTTATTTATTCTTAGCCTGATCTTTGGATTTACCTGGTAGATCATTTATTATATTGAGATATTAGCAAGGATGCTTGTTTTTGTGCATGTTCGTGTTTTTTGAACACATATTTCATCGCACGCTTGCATAATATGATAATGATTTTATATCTAAAGAGAGTTGGAAATCATAGAGCAAGAGTTTCGTAGCTTCAACTGTCTGGTCCTTTTGATATTTGACTGGAATTAAGCGCTCCAAGTATAATGGAGATAGCCACTAGTTTTCCGCTATGTTTTGTTTTTCTAAAGCATTTGAGATTCCGTGAACAAGATTATCTGTTTATATATTTGCGCATCCGTAACTCATTTAAACGTGAACCTAGGCAGATGCTTTAAGTTACTTATTCACTAGTTGTTGGATGTTAATCACATTATTACGATTTTCATATGGCCTCCCTCTCCCTTTTCTTGTACCTTTTTTCTGTTTGTTGGTGATTCTGGTTTGGTTTCTAAAGAAAGGATTGTTTTGTTGGTATCTTGAAATAAATATAGGGATGATATTGGTGATTAATCACATGCCTTGAAACTCTAGAGCTTTGGGAGTAGTTCATGTTTAGTCAGTAAGGTTATTGAATAACGTACTTCTGCTATTGTTTGTTGAAACAAAATCACATTGACTTGTTTATAAGCTATTAATTGTGACAATATTTTATTAATTGATAATGAGTTAAGACTCGTGCTCTATTGAATGCTAAATTTTTCGCATTCCTTAAAAGCATTATTTTAGTAGGATTAGTTAAACAAGATCCTAAGTGTTCTTTCTGACAAGATCATCTTCGAGGTATTTGTGATGTAGGGTACTGTAAGTCTTGTAATTAGTTAGCACTCTTTAACTTTTGTTTTGGTATGCTAGCAGGTCTTCTTTATCATGATAACTGCTAGCAGGTTGAATTTCAGAGTATTTGGGCTTTCAACTGGTTGTTTTGTTTGGTTATCATCCACAGTGAAGGTAATGAATTCATCTGGTAGGTTTACCGCACTGGAGTAACCTTATGTCTTCAGAAATAGATACAACAAACTTCTTTTAGAGGCTGGTAGAATTGTTCCACTGATAAACCCTGTCATGAACAAAATAACCGCCATTTTCCTTGACTTGAAAAAACAATCCCCTTGCAGTCTCATTTGCGTGACAAAGTTCAACACAACGTTTGGGTCCATCCTTATTTGGTAGTTTGTACATACCAAAAAGTTGCCAAGATGGGTAGATTCTGACTTTTATTGACATTCTTGCCAAGTTTTACCATTCACCCACCAGGTTGTAGAAACTTAAGAATGACTAACAATTTGATTTTCGTGTCCAGAATAAGTCATGGGGAATCATATTGATGAAATTTTTAATGGGTCTGGTGCATGGGGGACCATAACGATAGTTTCTTTTTAGGGCCATGAAAAGTCGCAATGGTGAGAACTCAGCAATTTAAAATTTCAGGAATATGGTTCTTAGTTAATAATCTCAAGGACTTTGATAAAATAGGTTGTGGCTTTGTTTTAGAAGTCTTTTTAGTGATAATCTGATCCTGTAATTGATATCCTTGAAAGAGTTCAACATTTTACGCTTCCTTTATAGAATTTTTTGGAAACATTTATTTAGAAGATTATATAGGGATATAGGGTATGCTGGTAATCAGTGATTTTGGTTCACTATGTTCATGATTTAGTATGGCCACATAGAACCACTAGATCATGTATTCTTTTGAAATGTGCATTTATTCATCATTTTTTTCCAATATTTTCACTTTTTGAGGATTTGACCCTCTTGTCATCCATCTATCTATTCTGTTGTACATAAAATTTCTTTTACCTTTCAAGAAAGATCACTTGGATATGAAGTGATCACATTTGTAACTTGCGTATCCATTTTATATTTTACCTTCTTAGATTGTTCAAAATAGATTATAACAGTTGTTCCAGTGTAAATTGTTCCTTCTGATGTAGAATAGGAAGGTAAGAATGTGAGAACCATTAAAGTAACAATCCCAATTTACTGAAGGTTTGAGTTGAATATACTTTGTTAATGTCTAGCACCACACACTTTGGGTCAGCCTAGTGTTCAATAAGGGTGATGAGAATAATAAATCTCTGAGGGAACGAGTTCAAACTGGCCATCCACCTAGGATTTAATATTCTATGGGTTTTCTAGCAACCAAACGCAGTACGGTGAGGTTATTGTGTCGTGAGACTATTTGAGGTTCCCACAAGCTTGTCTAACACTCACGAATATAAATAAAAATAAGTAGATTTTTCCAAAGCTCATTCTATTTCAGGCATTGTGCATGTTAGATCTATCTACTCAATGTGCACATAGTAAGAATAATTGTTGTGAATATGACATTGTGCACGACATTATGCATATAATTTCCAAGTAGTTATTATGAATATAGCATTGTGAACATTATTTTTTAGTAGTATTAATTTTAAACATGAATTTTATTTGTTAGCACCCTGTATGTCATGCAAGTATGGTCAAAAGTAATATATATATATATATATATATATATATATATATGTTTGACGAGAATAATATTCTTCAATGAGGCATTCGTTTATTTTCAGACTCACCCATTTGCTATATATTATTACTCACGAATATAAATAAAAATAAGTAGATTTTTCCAAAGCTCATTCTATTTTGGGGATTGTGCATGTTAGATCTATCTAGTTAATGTGCACTAGTAAGAATAATGTTGTGAATATGACATTGTGCACATAATTTCCTAGTAGTTATTATGATATATAGCATTGTGAACATTATTTTCGATTAATGTTAATTTTGAACATAAATTTTATTTGTTAACCCCCTATATGTCATGCAAGTATGGTCAAAAGTTAAACTTTCTTTGTTTCTTAATGAGTTTGGGTTATATATGATGTTTTTAAAAATGATTTTGTATTTGACGAGAACAATATTCTTCAATGAGCCATTCGTTTGTTTTCAAACTGACTCATTTACTACATATTATTTGATTGACTAATCATTTATATTGCAATGGATTAAGAGTTGAGGGGAGATGAATTAGAATAATTCTGAATTAAGGCTCTCGTGTGGCCTTTGGTTCTGGCCGATGTTTATGCAATTTTGTGGGGTCTTTAGAGAGAGGAATAATAGAACCTTTAGGAGAGTTGAAAAGGGACCCAAGTGAAAGTTTGGTTATCATTAAAAAATTGAATTAGTGCTTTTGATTTTTTTTCATCCTTGCCGTAATAGTATCTGAGGTTTGCAACGTTAACTTGGTATGTCCTCTATAACTTCAATCTTGAAACACAAACGTTCTAGATCTGTTTCTGAACCTTCGAGCTTCACAAATTCATGGTTGGGGGCTCTAAGCTAGCTGGGAAATACATACAAGTTAATAGCTAGATTGTTTTCAATTCTCTTGGTGTTCTGGTTTACTTTATAAGTTAATATTAGGATTGTTTTCTAAAAATGTACTTTGAATTGTGATTGTTTTTGTGACGTGCAATGCAATATGCTTTTGAACCATTCATGATTCTTTCTTCATCATTTTCTGCCAGACATATCCATTTGGGGAAGTTCTTGTTTGTTTCATTAATTGATGAAATGATGTTCCTTTCTAAAAAAAATTGAATTTATGCAGTTGGAAATATCATTATTTGCAGTGATCCACCGATTAAACTATTGTCTTGGATTTATAATGACCCTGTTTAGTAGAGATGGTTTTTTTCTGATGTCTTTTTTTTTTTTTTTTGTTTAATTTCTTTGCCGAATTGTGGCTTACTCTAATGTTTTGCAAATTATCTTGCTACAGCAGACTGCTGGATTAGTTTACTGTAGTTGAGCAGTGGAGATATGAGGTAAATACTATCCGTCCTTCCATGATGAATGTCATATACAATTGTGTAACTTTTTATTGAATAAATGAAAAGAGACTAATGCTCAAGGATACAAACTCCACAAGGAAGTTAAAAATAAAACACGAAGGAATACAAAAAGAACCACTACAGAGAATAAAAGAAAGAACAAGATATAGAAAGGAACTTCTACAATAAGAAACACCAAGCGAGCTGAGCAAAAACAAAAAAAAAAAAAAAAAAAAAAAAAGAAAAGAAAAGAACTAGAAGAGAGAGTTTAAAGAAACCAAACTCAGCACTGAAAGCCAAACCAAAGACAACGTTTGAAAACAAAAAAGAACAGCTACCAATGACCCAATGGACCAAGATCACCTAAAAAATTTGTATCTTCCAATTGAAGTAAAACTTTATCATCCATAAAAGGATTAATGAAGAACAAAGGTTTTGAAGTGAACTTCTATGGCCTTCTGAATATCTTTCCGAACATCATGCACATTCAATCGAGAAGCCACCAGCAAAGAATTCCACTTTAAGTTAACAACTTCTCTATCTTTCCTTACCCAAAAAGATGACTTGGAAACGGAGGGCTTTGAACAAAACAAATCTGCAACCGAGGGAGGAAAAAGAAGGGTTGAATGAATTCACAACGTCCAAATGAATTAGTACTACATTTCAAAGGCTGAGAATCCTTCCAGCCAAGCTTCTCAAATTCCATGATATAATCTCTCCGACAAATCATACAAAAAAAAAAAGAAAAGAAAAGAAAAAAAAGCCACCACGCTTTAGGAAATCACAAGGAATGCTAATCACCTTCCTTCTACTTGATATTGGCCATATGATACAATGAATAATTGCTCCTGAAGAAAACCAACGTTTCTGAATTTTGGTAGTACCAAACTCATCTCTATTGTGTTTGGATAAAATCCGAGTCTTGGTGCAGAATATCATTTCAACCGTGGCTTTCTCAAACCAATGTAGGTGAGAATAAATGAGAGAGGAATGCTGACTTAAATTCCATGGCTTTCTCAAAAATTCCATTTTTGAACCAAATGCAATATTAACTCTTATCAATACAGCAACTACTACGATCTGTTGCAAGCAAACTAGCAAAGGTATGAAGCAAACCCAAAATAGAACAGCAATCAACGTATTGATATCTAATGAAACAATCTGACAAGGCACAAACTGGCAAAAAATGAGGAGGCAAATAGTGACTAAAATGACCAACGAAGGGATAAGGGTTGTAGGCCCAAGAGCTGCTAAAGTGAGGCGAGAGAGAGTGAAGAGGAAAGAAAAAAGAACGACAGGCAAACGTCAACAAGAAATTAATGAAGGGACGATGATATTCTTGGGTTGGGGTTTTTTGGGTACGTCATATACAACATATACAACTGTTGGGCAAAATTTTGGTCGTCATCTTCTTTTTAATCTACTTGTTTCCTTTGATGAATCTCCGTAATTTTCTTTTATAAAATATCCAACATCATTCCTATAATAAGCATGAACTTTTGAACCTAGCTGATTATTATGAAGGTGGCAAACCTTAAGATTTCTGGAAAATGAAGTTTGTATGCTGATGCAATTTCAATTATTTTTTGTTCCACATAGCCTTCTCTTCACATAAATTCCTTTGTATTAATCACCACAAACGAGACAAAGCTAGTTCCGTTGGTTATGGAATAGTCCATTACCCTACCACAATTCGTTGATTGAAAGATAATTTGCAGCCTCACACCGTTTTCTTGATGCAAAATGAGTAACATCTTCCTGGTTGGTGTAAGGTCTCTTTTTGCTAGCGTCGTTGTAGTCTGCTGCAACCATCAAAAGAACAAGATTGGAATAGTGACTTTGGAAAAGTTCATTTGTACGCATTATTGAACATTTATGCATTTTGTCGCAATTGTACCCCAGTTTTGTTGCTTTTTCTGGTGCCTCAAGGTTTTGTTGTTGTGGTTGGCTGAGTTGAAGGCTGATAGGTATACCTGCATCCTCTCCCACACCCAGGCCATTTGTAAGACTGCTTGCCCCCTTGGCATCCTTTGTTCCATAGACCTAGGATGGTGAAAATTTTCTTTTGATAGTGACTAAGCAACACAGTTTTATTGGTTAAACAATTAGAACCTTTAGTCTCTTTTTTCATCAAATGTCCCTGAAGAGACACCTTTAGTTTATTTTTGAAAATAATTAAAGTTTGCTTCAATTATCTGCATCGTTTACCTTTTGGTATAATTCCAGATTTTCTTGACGAATTAGGTTTACCTTCTTATAAAGTTCCATATTGCCTTGGTGAATTAGGTTTCCCTATAACAAAGAGGAGGAAATTTAGTAACCAAAATTATTGAGAACGGAAATTTCAGAACTGTAGTTGCTTAACCTTTCTGTTTAGTTCTTGTATCTCATCCATTAAGATTTGATCCTGCTCAAAGTAGGAAACTGTCTGTTAAACACCCAACACATTTAATAAATGATACAATTAGATACCTTCTTCATACGGACACCACGGAGACTTATCTCCAGTTGGTTTTCTAGATTCTGTAGATCTTTGACACTCAGACCAGTCAACTCTTCACCCATCATCTGCCTGTAATTATATCTATTAGTGGTGTTCTATCGGAACGAATTAGTGGTTTAACTTGTATAGCAGTTTTTACTTGAGCAACATGCAGGAAATATATTAGGAAATTTATGTTTGGATCATGCTTGGTCGTCAATAAATGCTATCTGAAATAAGTGTCCATGGTTATGAGTGCATGAAGTAGATTGGAGGCTCGCATATGGCCTAAGGAGCCGAAGTAAATTTCGTAGTTTTTTTTCATTCTTTTGCACTTTCCTCTAGTATCAGTGTTTATCAAGTAAAATGTAATGAAATAGAATAGAACAGAATAGGGTATGTTAGTACCGATGATTTTCTTGTAAGCTCTGCAGTTGTTGCCGTAACATTGCTGCTTCCCTTTGCCAGTACTAATGATTAAAAATAGAATGTAATTTTCATACTATTTAGAAGTATAAAGTGTATGCCTTCTATATTCATGCACAAAAATGTATTAAGCTAGCATAGAGTATACCAAAAAGCATTTCTGAAAATGAAGGTATTCAGTATCTAGTCTGATGTAAATGTTATGTTAGCCTGGGGATGGGCAAGGGATTTCTGTTCATGTCTGCATCCCGTCTCCTCTCAAAATCCTTGCCTACAATCCCTGTTCTCTCAACATCCTGGCCTACACCCATGTCCACTTTTGGGGAGACTGAAGAGCCGAAGAATCCCATTAATGAGGATCGGGATTCATACTTGAGCAAAATTTCTTGGTCATATTTTAAATTTTTGAATAACATACGAGATAAGATGTGAGTTGGCAAAATTATAATTTTTGGCCAAAGTAGAGAATTGTATCTTTTATTATTATTATTTATTAGTTTGTATATCTATTTTGTAGAAATATCTAATACTTTTTGTTAATATACAATGACACCTTAACTTTTCAGGTTTGCCATTTCATGAAAAAGCCTTTGAGGTTTGTCGTGATGCCATTTTTATGCGTTCTGCTCCCTTTTATTTTTCTGGATTTTGATGTTGAATCATCTGTTTGATTTTGTCCAGGTGGAGATTGCTCAAGGATCCAAGATTCATGATCTCATGATTGTTGTTTTGAATTGTTCTTTCAGCATGTGCCAGATAAATACAAGGTTCGTGGAATCTCTTTTAAGCGAAATATGCATTTATAATTCTGACAGTAGTTTTGATGAGTACTATTACGTCCAAATTCGCATGATCCTCGACGAGTCAAACCTAGATTTCAACATAAATCTAACCACATTTGATCCCATAATGATTGATGTTCTTCCTAGTAATTCACTTCGGGCAGCTCTTCCTATCCAAATCAAACTGCTGTTATACCTAAACTGCACTGTCCCAAACCCCTCCCGCTCCTCCCCACCCCCTCATTCCACAACATAATCATACCAACCATAACTATGATGTATAATTCTTAATAGTCATCGTATCCAGAAAATTGACAGATAGGAAATCTAGATGTTTGCGTTTTAACAATCATACATGATCTTTTGCCTAACATGTCTGGCTGTCGGAAGGAAAAATAATCAAGTCTTAGATACTAAAGAATACCTTGACTTCTGAAGTCGAGACCCCAAGCTGATGGTGCTCCTCTTTTGTCTTGTGATATCGTTCTATTAGTGTTTTCATGCTGGTAAGAGTCAATAATCTGAGTTATAATCATAATGATATGGGCAAGAAATGAAAATTTATTGGGAAAACAGCAAAAGTTGAAAATTTAACTACCTTGTGAGCATACATCAATAGGATAACCCTATTTACACCATGATTTCCTTTCAATTTAGTTTTCCCGGTTAAACCTAGACTTTTGTTCTCATGTGGTAGGCTCTTAACATTTTCAAGATTCTTCTCGGTTCTATAGTGGAAATTCAAATTTTCAGATAGGTAGAATGAAATTTGTTAGCCATATGACAACATTAGATGGGTGGCAAAAAGGGTTGCCTAACAATCGAACCTTTTCCTTTTTACTTGAGAAAAATTCAAAATTAGATCGGGCAATCAATTTCTCCTGGAATTACTAAAGTTCAAACAGAAATTTTAAGTTCACCTATTATACAGATACAATGAAATAATATTGATTACTATGTTTAAGACAATTCATGGTCACCAATAGAATTTATAATTTAACAATATGCAAATTCAAATTAACATGAACAATATTCAAACAATAAAATTCATAAGGAGGGCTAGAGAGTTTAAACGAAGATTTTTAATGGTTCAGCCTTAAATGATACTAAACTATAATGAAACTATTCCCAATGTGCCTCCTTGAATATTCTACTGCCCACCACGTCTTTTTTGTAAGTGAGCATTAAACATCACTGAGCAAACCTCACCGATCATTTTTGTATGGCTACATGGCAGGTATAGTGTTTCGACAGTGCAGTCTATGATATTGGGATGAAACGTTGGTTGATAGTGACTAGGTCAAAAGACGGATAGCATGGCCAATAGACAAGTGAGAGATTTTATCTATGATCTATTGATATCTCACTCAGGTAAATAACATTTTATCTCCATTGACTTCCATTTAACCTATCCAATAGTTATACCCTTAGTAATTGAATGCATTTTTAACATCTCCTTTAGTGGTTTTCATTTTATTTGTAGAGGCACGCATCATGCTCTTGGTCTTTCAATTAATGATGCAAATTTTAGGCATCTACATTCATGGAGTGTCACGTTGATCAAAGCAAAGGATTCCTTGCACTTATCGGTCAGGTATGTGTACATCACTTCTGGAGTTTGAATAGATAACTGTAAGATTTAAACCATAAAATGTATAATTTGAATCCACTAAATGTAACGTAGAACTTTATGTGAATTCTCATGATGCATTCTTTTCCACCCTTTGCTTTACCATCATCTTGCTAGTTACAGAAATGGAAAATTTCATCAAACTGGAAAACATGACAGAGATTAAAGGTGTAGGGTAGCTCGTATAAAACTATGATTACAAGATTAAACTAGGGAAATAGCTATAGTTTTTGAGGAATGCAGAAGCCCTTATGGCCAAAACAGCCCAGTCTTGGGAAATCAAATTAAAACTAAATGATAAATATGATAACTGAAGCGAAATCCAATAAAATATTGCACGACAAAACAAAGACTAATTAGATGACTTTGATCAATATACGGATTCTATTATATCTGTATATGATACACAAAAGTAAGAGTTCCTTTCTTGATTTATTCTACAGAAATAGAACCCCTCCATTTTTATTCGTAATAGGAAGTTCCTACACTTCTCTAAAACAAACTAAACAATTACCATTATCCATAGCCAGACAGAGATAGCAAATCCAAAACATATTTACAATCTTGGAATGACTCGTCAGCAATTTGGAAAAGAGGCACACAAAAGAGCCACCAAACAAGAGGAGTCTAAACAATACCTAAACACTAAAGGCCTACCGAAAATGGTTCCGATCCACCGTACAATATTTACAACAATTCATTGAAACAGAAATCAAAAGAGATGCATTAAACATGATGGAAAACCGATTTTTTTACTAGGACCTACCAACGCCTCACAGTGTCTTTTAACTCCTCAGGCCATATGTCCGATAAAAGGGCAAAACAAGCTACAAACCAAAGATATTGCCTCTCCTCTTTTCCCATTACAAAAGCTCTTATCATTAAACAAAAATTTCCATTACAAGCCAAACAAATGCCAAATGACGCAGAAAAATGGTTCCATGTTAGAAAAGCTATCTGAGTGCGACCCCGCAAGGATATGTTCTAGATCTTCAAACACTTTGTCTTTTAAGAGCATCCACCACTACAACCAGAAAATTGAATAATGCTTATGCATTTGGTCTATAGGGTTAGCTCTCTCATGCATAACTTGTCAAATAAAAACTTCATTCGCAATTCAAACTTTCCACAACTAAGATTATTCATGTCTTCTAAGATTGTGTTTTGTATATATATATATATAATTACTTTTTTTTTTGCTGAGTATCAATGAAACTTCCATAAATTTATTTGACACAGGGGGTTAGTAGATTAACTTTATCATTCTAACTATACTTTAATAATAATATAATGATATAAGTTCATTTAATTATCATTATGTTTCTTTTTAAGAATACATGCATTTGTAGTTGGTAGTCGTTTGTTTAATCATTAAGATCTTAGGCTCTTTAGCATTTGACAACATTTTTGAGGTAAGAGAATTCAAACAGACGTTTGGTACCAAGAGGTATGAGCTCTTTAGCAAATAAATTTGAAGTTAATAATTATTTATTTGTGAATAATATTATGGAATCTCTTGTTTAATTATATTGGGAATCATGAGTCATTTGAATACATTTTTTTTAGTCTCTAAATTGCATATTATTTCTATAAAATATTTGTTTTTAAATTTACATAATTATGTTTCTTGAATATTCTCAAAACTAGAGAAATAACTAATTTAATAAATATGGTCTAATTATGCACTCGGTGATGAATTTTATTTCTTATCCTCATTATCAGCCCCTAGAACTCGAGTGTCAACCTAGGACTACTACGTTTTTTTTTTTTTTTTCCTTCTTTCCGAAGAATATAGCTGTTTAATAATCACTTGTTACAATCTGAAAAATGGTTCTGAAATTATAAATTATTTTTTAAAACAATATAAAACGAGATTTCATTAACACACTCTTTTTACATGTTTTTCTAAAACTATTGTCTTAGTTAGACCCTCTCGATTTGCTCCAAAATTTCTCTCTTCAATTTTTTCCTTCAATATATACTTCTCTTACTTTTCTCACTATAATTTTCCCCCTCCTAATTTACCTCTTTAAAAAATTCTTGTTTCTATCTCTTCTTGATTTGACATAAATTTTCCATTTCTCCATTAACTTTTATTCTCCTTAACATTATCCATGCCGCTATAAAGGGAAGAGTGGAAAAACCCTTTTGAGTGATACTGACTATGATTTTGGAAGGCTATGTTGAAAGTAAGTGGTTACAATTTTTTCTTTTCTCCTATCGTTATCTTGAATGGACGGTCTGTTTTGGTTGTTTGGCATGCGTAGATCCAAAGATTGGTTTTTGAAATTTCTCTACCGTGTATTTAAACAAATAAAATTAACTATAATAATAACACTGACCTTAACAGAAATTCTAATACCTATTTTACGTAATGATGGAGAATGTGGTTGGGGCGGAGGTTGGCTTTTAGAAGCAAAGTCAACCGAGGGAATGTCAATATCTTATTTTTATGTGAATGTCAATAGTTATGAATGAATATTTCTAAAAAAACTTTAAAAAAAAATTTAAGAAGATATTTAAATTGATAGATAGATAATTATTTACTTTTTAAATGAGTTAAAATATTGAATGTTAGGTTACATTTCTTTTGTCATTTTTTAATTGATCTGAGAATTGTCCTTTCATTATTCCTCTAGATGTCGAATCCATGGACATTCGACATGACACAAAATTTCATTACTATGCCCATCATTATATTTTTTACAGCGACCTTAAAATAAAGTTTTATATATTGAAAAAGAAGGAAAAAAAGTGAACCTTGACCGTTGCAATTTCAATAATAATAATAAGAAGAAGAAATAGAAGAATTCTATAAAAATTTCCCGAGGTAGATTTTTGGAAGTGAATATCTTATGTGTCAGCTTCAAACGACAGCAAATATGGGATTTTATTCGCAGAAGAAAATAGAAAAAAGGAAACAAAAGAGGAAAGTGACATAGAATTGTTTAATTTTGTTATCTCCGAATATGTTTTAATTGTTTTATTTGAAAATTTGGGATATAATTTAAGGTTACTGTTCAAAATATTTTAACTTCATTTTTCATGTACGCTGCGTTTGTTTTTATATCAAACAATAAAATGAAATAATAAAAATCTAAAGTTGTTAGTACCATTATATTTGGTCGAATGCTCTTTACTTACTTTTAGGACAGAAAATTGAACGAAAATTTGGATTCCACCACATTGCACATTGCTTCTTGTTTTTCATCTAATATTCTAAGGGTTTTTACTTACTGTCTAAATCATTTATGAAAGATATTCCTATTTTTATTTTACTGTTCTTGCAACTTAACAAGTTATACCCCTTTTCTAATCTTTCGAGACAAAAGGCTCCCTTCCTTGCATTAAAAATTTATAGTATTTGTTACATGTGTCAAATTTAGTGTTTCATCAAATAAAACAACTAATTGGTAGAAATTATTAATCTTTTCTAAGAATCAAGTTTTACATAATTCATACACAAAGGAAGTTTAAAAAGAATAACATGAAGCCACTAATTTATGGCATATGTAGTTTAAATTATGTGTAAACTGGAAGAGATGATGACTCACAAGGATTCAGAGAGATGATGACTCACAGGGATTCAGAGAGATGATGAACTTGATCATGCGTTTTTACCTTATTTGCATTGTAAAATCCTGTATTTCTATGGATATCATTTCTATTCCCAGAATTGGAACAAATTAGAATTCTGAACTCTCTACGGCCTCTAGGGGATAAGATATTTTCCGGAACAAGCAAATCATAATGACTCACAGGGATTCAGAGTGATGAGTGACCAATGGTATGTAAAGAGTTGACCAAGCACTCTTCTCAATCAATAGAATATGAGTTTCATTGAGACGAAATGAACTAAGCAAAACATGAGTGCAGCGCTTAGCTAAGATTGTGTTGTAGGACTCAATCGAATTTCATACAACTATTTTTCTTCTCCTTTTAAACCCATGTATCCATCTTTTTCTCTTATTCTCTAAATATAATATTCTTACAACAGGCTTTTCTGGCTTACATAAAAACGAAAGTGCAAAACTTACTCTTCTTTTGAAATAGATAAATGATAAGATAAACGTTATCAAATCGCCACTCTAGTTTCAAACAAATTTTATAACTATGTCCTATGTTTGAAAGCTTCTTCAAGTGAAGATTTTAAGTACTGAAGTTTTGTTCTAAAAAAAAAAAATCAATACTCGGTGAAAGTAGCTTATGAAATAATATCAACTATATGACTTAATAACTATTATTATTATTATTATTATTTTTGTTGAAGATACGACTAAGTTTAGATTATCGAAAACAAATTGGCAAAATATAACTGAACACTTAAGGCCTAAGGCCTGTTTACTTAAATGCAAAATGTAATACAACTAGAGTTTTGAGTTTTAAATGCAGAAATCATAGAAAACAATCTTGAATAAGGGAAGGTTTTGAAGTACACTTTAGGGAAAAAAAAATACCATGTAAGGAGTCATTTGCTATGAAGAATGAGAAAAGAATGTTTGGAAAAAAAATTCTTACAAATGAAAGTGTTTGGTGTTGCATGAAAAGTGTTATATCTTATATTTGATACAATATTTAATTTTAGATAATAGACTATGGTTTGCTATTTTAAATTATTAAAATACCATTAGATACTTAACTACTATTAATTATTTTAAATTCTTAAAATAATTTTAACTAAATAATCATCCTCAAATAGATAATTTTAATAAAATATACTTATTATTGTAAATATTCCGTCCAACTAATATTTTAAAAATTAAATGTTATATACCATTATAATAATTTATTAATAAAACAGTAATATACCTTAAATTTTAATATAATTTTCATTAGTAGTATACTATAAATAACATACAATTAAATTTTAGGTTTTTAATTTCATTAGCCATCAATATTAATAACTATTTTCAAATAAATAATTTTAAAAAAAGTTATACAAATTTTAATGATAAATAATTAGTTCAATCATCAAATTAAATAATTAATAATACATGTTCAATAGAATACTATGTATAGCAGAAGTAAATGATAGTAATAAGAAAGAAAAAAGAAAGAAAGAAAGATGAATAAATGTAAAATAAAAAAAAAAAAAAAAAAAAAAAAAAAAAAGAAGGAAAAGCTTTTACCGACAACATATTTCAAAAACTTGAAACAGACAAGGCAAAATCCATGTCTATTCCCTTCTTTTCCCATCCAAAAAACTTGAGACAAATACCGTGAAAAAATTATTGATAATAGATTTAATGCAAAACCTTTTCTAACATGTGATAGACTCAAATACAAATTCTTTCAAAAGCAGAAAACAAAGATGCTAAAAATTATTATTAAGATTAAATAATCAGAAGGTACGAGAACACAGAAACCGAACCACACAACATCAAACTGCGTGAGACGGCCCGACCGACTTCTGTGCATACTTAACCCTATTTCGTAAAAGTATTGCCCCTTATGGACTAAATCTATTGTTCAAACCATGCTTCTTTGTTCTTTTAGAATACAACACTCGTTAAGAATGTGGAAGAAGTAATTTGAAACTAAAGAAGGAACAATGAGTGTCTAACCATCCCTAATTATGAATGGTGAAGTCGGAAAACTATGGTTTCTTTTAATCCTACACTCCGAACTAATATGAGATCTGGTCCATTCCTTAAACCAAAGGGATTCTGTTGGAAACAATTTTGAGTCGAATCATAACAGCTATGATTGAAATAACGTACTGTTGACCCATATCATTCGATCCAATCCAAGAAGCATACATTGAGCAACATTGATTGACCAATTAGGCTGTTCGGATTCCTAGAACTAAAAATAGCACAGAGATCCACTTTTCCAATCAGCGCTATTTCTCTTGGTGGGCATCCATTACAAGGATAAATTGATAATTGTATGGTGCAAAACGATTTGATTCCAGTATCGTGCACGACCTTCATATCCATCCATCCAGAGATTTGCAATCATGAGATGGTACGTAATTTCTCGCATGAATAAGTCATTTGAATCTCCGATAAAAATGACTGAGCATTATCACCCTCCCTTTCCAATTCTAAACGAGTTCTATGATTATTATGCTACAAGGAGAATCGCAACTCCGAAAATCTCTTAACCATATTCGTCCTTTACAACATGTTCACTTGGATCTTTGAACAGTACTAAAGTATAAGTTCGAATGCAATTTTTGGACTGCTAACTTCTCTTTGGTTAGGTTATCCACCACTCTTATCCTACGAAACTAAGCCACAAATTCGCATTATAGCAGTCCATCCTATAGGCATAAACTATTGGAGTATCTGGCAACCAATGACTCTAAAGATACTTGATATATGCCAATAGAGTTCATGAGCGGAGTAGTTGAAAGCAGAAGCCATCGAAGTTTGAACGATAGAGATCTCAGGCAAATAACAGAACTGAGCCTCATAAAATCACAAGAAAGAACAAGACGTCAAAAAACCTGAACACTATAGGCTCTAGAATTCCTATTTCTCAGTATGCACAACATTTTATTTTACTATAAAGCATACAGTCATAATCGTGATTCAAGGTGCACGCTCGCCAATATAATGAATAAAAACCAGGTAAATTAATTGAGCGAGGCTACCAATGTGTTGTCGCACTAGATATTAATCTATTATAATAAAGTTCGAAAACGGAGAAATTATTCAGACTGAAAAAAGTAGAAGAAAATAAAGGCAAACAGTAAAGAAACAGAAGATGAATATCATAGAACCTGGTGCTGGAGTATTCATAAAGCTTGCTGGTGCTGGAGAAGATGATGACTCCAACATCGGCGTCACAAAGGATCGCCAGTTCTTTCGCCTTCTTCAGCAGTCCACTCCTTCGCTTCGAGAAAGTCACCTGTCTGCTCGTCGAATTATCGATCCTCCTAATTACAATCTTGCCTCTCCCCATTCTTAGATCCGAAACTCGATTCTTCTATCCATTTTTCCGGAAATTTTTTCAGAGAATAACGAAACTCAAGTAAATTTCACAAGTAACAAATATATAAGAAAAATCACAACCAAATCACAGAAAAGAAAACGACAGTTCTCTAAAACACTTCATTCTTCCTCGATAACGCACAGAATAATTACACATAGAGAAGAGAGATGCGTTCCTACTGCGAGCGATCAAAAACTAAATAATAATTTTTTAAAAAAAACACTCCGAAAGCAGATGAAAAACGACGAAAACGAAAACGAAAGCGATGCAATCTGCAGCGAAGAACGGAAGAGAAAATGTGCAGGAATTATCCAGGAAATCGTTCGTAACTTACTCTTGCGCAGTTGAGTGCGGTGCTGTTTGGAGGCGAGGCAAAGAGATCAAATCCAACAGAATCAACGCTTTTTTACGGAGCGTTGTACTGAAGCGGGTTCACATAATTCAGCCGCACAGCGCCAAATATGGAAGGGGTCTGCGTTCCATGTGTTATAGCTCTGGGTTTTATCCAGTGTGGGAAAAACCAGTGCGGGTTCATACTGATGAGGGACACGTGGCCCAATCAGATCGCGCCTTTATTAACCTATTTTATTCATCGAGGTGCGAGCTGTCTGTTATATCGATCATCGACGCGTGGGGCTATGGCTATGGGATACGGACTACGGAGACTGCTATTTTCTTCTTTTGGAAATATATTTTGTTTGTGTAATTACAAATTTAGAAGTATGCAGCTTTTTGTCGAAATTGCCCTCCTACGTTTTCAGTATTTACTGTTGTACCCATGAAATAATTGTATAATTTATGGGTCTGTATGAAAGAAAATGGGGCACAGAATATAAGGTCATTTCAGGCAAAGTCCAAATATTTACATTTTACTTTTATTTCTCGCCCCCACTTTTGTCTTATTATCCCTTATTCTATATTTTATGCACCATCTTTTGGAAAAGCAAATAAATAAATATATATATATATATATATATATATATATATATTTATTTATTTATTTGTGCTTTCGTTAGTCAATGACTAAGTCTATTTGCAATTATATGTAGTTTAAGTTTCATGTAGAATCATTCAAGCTCAACATGGTTAATCATGCTTGTGCAGTGATTCGAATCTCAAACAAGTGTTCTTGAGTTGAGATATTTGATCAACAAGAATAATTCAAGCAAGACATGATCGATCTTGTTTGTTGAGTGATTCGAATCTCAAACAATGTTCTTGCCTTAAAATATTCGATCAACAAGATAATCCAAATTTTACTCTCCTTGAAGTGATTTTTTAACATATCATTTGGTATCAGAGGTTTAGGGATATATGTTTCATTTGTGTTTCTTCTCAATTTGATTTTTATTTATTTTTATCTTTTTAGTTTTTAATCGATCCAAAATTCAAAATTCAATATTTGCTCTATTTAAAATTTGTGTAAATGAGTGTAAGAAGAGTAACCTAATATTCCTTGCGTGTATATTCGTGAGAGAGTATCTATATATATATTATTAAATTACAAAATTATTCTAAATTTAGATATTAATTAGTGGTAGGACTGAAATTTAGAGTTTTATTAGATAAAAATTAAAGTTTATATTTATTAGAGTAATTAATTTTTAAAAACTTTAAATTCTTCATAAATTTATTCGATATTTTTTAAATTGTAAGAACCATTAACTTTATGTTTTTTTTTATAATTTTATTTCGCATATTATTTTTAATTTTAAAAAATTTTACAAATTGGAATAATAATAATAATAATAATTGGAGTAATTAAAGGAAATGAAAAAAAAATTATGTAATTTAAAATAAATAATAAGAATTAGTAGCAATGTCGGTGCATTTATGCTCCATTTCGATTTAAATAATTATTGGATTAATAAATTTCAATTTTAAATATGGAAAATAAAATTTAAACGTGACTTAGTTGTTTTTATAATGATATTTAATATTAATTATAAATGGCAAATGACTTCGAATAATTTAAATTATTTAATAAACATGCAGGATAAGTGGTTACTATAAAAATTTGAATAAAAGAGAATAAATATGGAATAATAGATTTGAAAATTTAAAAAATTAATTGAAGAATTATATATATATTTTTTAAGAATATTGAATTCAAAAGCTAGTACGAGGATGCTTTTGATCGCAAGGGTAAATTGAAAAATTATTTTAAATATATTAAAAAATAATTATAAATAACCAACTTAAATGGAGTCTTACTCAAATAATCATATTCATAAATTTCAAACTAGATAATATATATATATATATATTCACAACAACGTCACACGCTCAACGAGGTTTGGGCCACACACTCGAAGGCACCCAGCTCCACCCTACCATGCATGTTTCATCATTGTATCAGCCATCAACCATCCTCAAGCCCGCCCAAGTTAGAAGGCAACATCACAACATTTCATTTTATTCTCAACAAGGCTCATGTCACACGTCCAAAGGCACCAGACACCGCCTCACCGTGCAAGTTCCACCACTGCACCGCTGCAACCAACCGCCCTCAACCTCCGACGACCACCCCATGCCTCAAGCATATGCCCATGTGCGACGCATAGTACTTGTGGCATGGGGTAGCGGAGGATATAGGGGTACTCCGTGCCCAGCCCATGCAGACTAGTCACCCCCCTGTATAGTACATTTTGAGGCATTTTTTTTCTGTAAGACATAGATACGATTTTTCTGAACGGTCATACCATCAAATATCTCAAAATTTTAGATTATTTTTTTCTACGATTCATTCATATATATATTTATTTAGGGTTTATTTTTTTAAGCAAAGAGTCTTAAGACATTATCACGTTTACTCTGGTAGGTGCGGACACCGCCAAGGCATATAATTATTCCATATTATTTATTTGTTGTTTTTACATATTATTTAAATCTCGGAAAATAAATATTTATATTAATAATTATTTAAATTGGGACTGGGGGCATGAAGACAGTCACGTCACGTGGGCCACGTCCCCACCCCACTTCCCAATTGTTGTTTGTGCGGATGGGGAAAGAAGAATAATGGAAACAGCCGGTTTCTATTTGGACATTTTAAGGTTTCTAAATAAAGAAAATCCTACGTGTCAACTCAACAATCCCTTCCTCCAACTCCATTCCCCCGGATCCGCCGGTCACCAACTGCCCCCTTTTTTAATATTACATTTTAATTACTTTTCTGTTAGCAGAATGCAGAGTACATTTCTCGTACATAATTAACGTTATTGAAAGGATAAAAGGGTAAAAGGATTATGCAAATAAATTAAAACTTGTTTTAAAAGGATTATTATTATTATTATTATTTTAATATGAATCTGCCAACTAATAATTAAAAATAAAATAAAATATTTGGTTCGGAATATGAAAAGTGAGTCAAAATGTTATTTCCAGCTAGCGAAGGGGCCAGGTCCTTTCCTTCACGAGGAGGGATGGATAAGAGTGCTCCACTCAACATCGGTGATCTCCGAAACAACCATGAAATGATGATTTTATTAAAATAATATATAAGAGATTTTCCTTAATTGAAAATTGTGCATATTTTATGTTGTACAATGATTTTTTTATTACCACCGCCATCATTATCATCTTTATTTAAAAAAAAAAAAAAAAAAA